ATAGTTTTGTATATGAATGAAAATAATTTTAATAGTGTGATAGGTATACATAGACTGTATTTAAAGCAGTATTTTTACTAATATTGTTGAAGGGAAAAGTGCTACTATACAAACCATTGGTTTGACCCAATTTTATTTTTGTTTTACTCTGTTAGCTTATTTAATTCCTTTACATTGGTTTAAAAACAAATGATAAGGTTGAGTATTAAGACAAATATGAAAATAAAACTTTTCACATGTACAACGTATTTGCATGTACCTCTAAATTCAATGCATTGTAATTGTGGACCTTTTATTTATTATTCTAAGATTTTCGCAATTAACATTTTGTTATAGTTATGTTTAATCTTAGTGTGTGTATTAAGAATATTGTACAATTACAATGTTTTATTTTCTATAAAATATATAAAATCCACAGGTACAAAACAGGTCTTCTGCTTGGTTACATTTTTAGAGTATAATTTAATTATACAAAATTTTAAAAATAACTCTTGTTTATGGAATATATATTTAACATCATGTTAAACTATGGTAGAGTTAACAAAATCTTCAAAAACTATAAAAAAAACTTATAATAATTACGGCAACTTACCCTACCTTAATTACGAGAACTCACCCTACATTATACTGAATTTTAATTCAGCAGTTACTTCAGAAATTATTTACATATTAAACTTTGATAAAGCTATTTTATTGTACGAGTATTTTAACAATAAAATTACAAATCATATAATCCAGCAAAATTAAATTGCATTAACGCTTATAAGTTTATTGCAATACAGGTTTTTTCTGACTTAGATTTATACAAATCACCATGTGCCGGCCTGCTTTTCTTTATATCTTATAATAATAGTGAAAATAAAAATTCAAATTATTATTTAATGTACTATTAAAATTCGTAATACTTGAATCATTTAATAATATTAAAAAATTTCGAAATTTAAATAGTAACAAATAAATTACCATTGAATATAAAATTTTAATAAAAAATAATTCTTATAATAAAAAAAGAAAAAATTCCTAAGTAAATATTGCTTTTAAATTAAAATATTTTAGACCTCCTTGAAAGTAATCAAAAACAACCCAATTAACTAATATTTTAACATACTATAAAGGTTATTTATTAACAATATTAAATTAATAGCTATACAAGTATATATATAAAAATTATTTATTTAACATACAATAAAATTTTTTTCGTTTTATTATTTTAATTTTTTTAATATTGTTGCCAATAATTTGAAACTTAAATTGCATGTCGAGAATATAAACGTACTTATTTAAATATAAAAATAATGATATTTTATTTTTATTTTTTTTTTTCATTTTTTTTTTATAAATAATATTAAATTGTGAAAAGTCAAACTTTTGATTAAACATGTTCAGTTTACGTTGTTCTATTTCGCGAAAACACGCTAATTTTGTTAACGAGAAAGCTAGAAAATGAAGAAAAACTTTTGCTATCATGTATACTATGCACTATGTTATGTATAGATGTATATAAGCAACAAATTTATTTAGAGTTGCTTATACATACATAAAATTTATCTAAATTGTTAAGATTAAATGCAATTACAATAATAAAGAAAGAAAATGGCAAAAGAATAATTTTGGAGAACTCTAACTTACAACCTAACAAAATGGTTAGACAGTAATGCATATACAAAAAGTTTATTGCAATAGTATGTATGTGGAAACTATTTTAAGAATTTGCGGCAATTTAGAAAAACTTGATATCGAGAAAAAAAAATTTTCATTTTCGAAGTCACAGTAGAGAAGTGAATTCAAGAGCATCATAGTAAGGAGCATATTCTCAATGCATATACTGAGATAGATCGCATCTCTTTTAAAAATCTCTTAGCTGAGAAAAGTCACCTGCAAATATCCAATTAATATACAGCTGTATTAAAATTACCTACACTACCTACTGTATTAAAATTACCTACTAAACTACCAGTCGTATAACTTATTTAACGAAAAAAGATTTGTAATATGAAAGTCTGTGACAAGTCCTAATTATAAATTTCGATTTAATCAAGTTAAAAGATTTCGGTTTAACTTTGAAAAAAAATTTCGATACCCTTACTTAACCTAGTATATAACATTTAGCTAATATTTTATTCAAAACTTTCATTTTGTGCTGGTTTCAAAAAGTAAACAAGAAAGTAAACTAAGTCAAACTTTTCGACTACTTCTAATTTAACTAATTTTCCACTTGAATTTAGCCATTTAAGAGTTCTACCTCAAAAGAGTCATCCCAAATTGACACAAATTTTACTTCATTATAGTTATCAATTTGGAGAGTTCATGTTTTGTTATAATTAATTTTGTGCAAAAAGTGTTTTTCTTTATTACAAAAAAATACGTGAAATATGACATGAATTTCTAATATTAAATCTGGAGCTTTTATGATAAAATCGGCACTATAAATTTAAAATACTAAAAATGCAAATACATTTTGAAATTTTTATTATAAACTTCTAACATACTTTTAGTACTTTCAGAAAATAAGATTGCCCAAAAAAACTTTTCATCAATAAGTGACTGTTAAAATTGAAATTATACCTTTTATACTAAAAAGTTTACGTATAACTATGTATAACTATGTGTATAAATACGCAAATTTACAAAAATTGTCAAACACACTTGTATATACATACACATATGGTGTACATACCAAAGTTGAATTAATTAATTGTAACTGCATTCGTTCACTCATATTTTGAATAGAATGCAATGATATACAAATACATTTATTTCAGAAAAACAATAAATAATTTTAGCTATGAGGAAATATTAATTTATGAAAAATACTTCTTTTATATACATACATAAGTACAAACGCTTACGTATGTGCATTCAATGCCACATTTCTATTTTTTATTCTGCCTATGTTTACCTTCTATCTGACAATATGAAACCAGATTTATGTATGTAAGTACACACATTTTTACCATCATTTTTAGCACTTTTCCAAAAAAAAATTGAAAAAAAGTACTTTATTTTTAAAATTACATTAATTCATTTGTAATTTTATTTAATATTAGGTAAGTTCAAGGTTTCATTACTTCGATTCATAAGTCATAAGTTTTCTAATAAAAATCCTTTAAGAACCATTTACTCATATGTAACCAATATGAGTAAAGTATGTAAGAAACTGATTTAATATTTTTGAAATACTAAATCGCTTATAAGTATTAGTACTCCAATGCACCTGAAATATAAAATGTGGTTTTATATACAAGCATATATGTGTGATTAAAAATTAATTAAAAATTTTTATAACAAAGAATCATTGTTCAAGATAAAATATTCAATATTAAACGATGAATTGAAAATTTTTTCCAACTTTCGAAAGGAATAAAACAATAAATTAAAATTTGGATTATGAATCTGTGCAGGATACAGGCAAAACTTTGCAAAAATGTGGCTGTAAACAAACGCGAGATTTATTTAAATTTATTTTCATAGCTTTGACAAACCACAATTAAGAATTTGTATTCTACAATTTTAAATTTATACGATTCAAATAAGACATTGTGGGTTTCAATGATGTCAGGACAAATTTTATAGCTTATTTTAAATTCGAAACATTTCGTTTGGTGGTTTTCAATTTCGATATTGCAAATGCATCGAAAACCATATAATAAATATAAATAAATATAAAATTAATATTTTAAATATTTTATGCATATTTTTTATACAAAAAATAGTAAAAGATCTTTATTCATTAATTTATTCGCAATTTAATTTTAAATTATTTTTGTTATTCTTCTATTTAGCTTGTGTATGCTTATTAGCAGAAACTCTTTTGTTTATCATGTTCTTAAATTTTCGTTGTGTATCAGAAGAACCAGTTTTGAAAGCTATTTTGTGTCAGTGAAATAACATTTCGATTAAACTTTCATTTTTAACAAATTTTTTTCCCTACTTACATTACATTAAATTTCTTTTTGAAATATTTGAAGCTAGAACGTTTAAAATTATGTTAGTTGTAACGAATCTTGTACTTGACTGTGTTTAGCAAACGAAAAGAATAACGAACTTTGTACAAATATCATAAAAATAAAGTACATATGTACCTATTTTTGCTTTTTACAAAATAAATCATATTCATAATCATAATTTACATTTTAGTTTGAAATGAATGACTGCATAACAGCCTTTTCTCAATTACATTTTAACGATCATATGTAATTATTCAATAAAATAAATTAAGCTATATGTGGATAGCAATTGATGGTTTATGATTTGTAAGTCCTAAAAACTTTAACCCACATTTCTGATTAATATTTTGTATATAAGAAAAAAATAATAAGAATAGATATAACTTTTCCTAGTTTCCATTCATATGTTGAAATTTTAAATGAAAAGCAATTAGAGAAATCAAACGGACAAAGAAATAATAAGAAATATATTTTTAAAAATGTTAAAAAAACATGTACTGGCTTGGAAGTTTACCAATGAAATTTAAATTACGTCTATAATATCATAGAAAAACGCGTAGACGTTCCTATTTAACAATTCATTGCAAAACATCAACACTATAAATCAACAAAAAGTATTGAAATCTATGCATGCCGGTTAGTAAGCATTACTTAAGCATTGTTTTTTGGCAATATATTTTTTTTTATCATGGTTAAGTATTATGAATGTATATTTCAATAGTAGAAATATGGTTCTGAATGCAATGGCTAACATCACTATAATTGGGATGAGGTTGATTGATTCAAAATAGTATTCTCACTCATATTTGGCCTTTCATAAAAAATATAATCAGACTTGATTGTATAATTTTGTTAACTTTTTAATTTGACTCATTTATAAACTATTTTAAGTAATTAGATTTCTAGACTATTGTATACATATACATATGTATGTGTTGTCATTATGAGTTTGAATTTTGTTCCATTTGTTCAATTAAAATAAAAAAAATGCTAAACTTATTCATACTTAATTATTATTATAAAAAATTTTATTATATTTTAAATAACATTTACCTCTGATTCTATCAATGTTGTATCATCTGGTGTCGATGGTAATGGACAACCTGGACCATCTTCCAAGTCATCATCCTCATCATCTAAGATATCCTCTAGTGGATTGGGTAAACTATTCAAATCAAATGAATCACTATCATTGATTGACCAACGATGACGTTTTCTTAATACCATTTCATCTAAATCATGGAATATATCATCATCATCATTATCAGTTTCACCATCTCTACTAATATGATAAAATTGTTTTGTTGGACTTCTATTAGTTAATTTAAGATCAACTGGTATCGATGATTCATCATTTAAATTATTTTCTGTCCATGTATTTTTAATAACATTTAATGGTACGAATTCATTTTCGGAATCGGTGTCTATTATTTCAATACCGGATGATTTTAGTTCTTCCTTAGTTTTTATATCCAAATTTTTTGTAACTCCCATTTCTCCCGATAATAAATTCAATTGTTCAGCTGGATCTTTAATTATTTCATGTTTTTGTTTCGACGACATTTCAAAAATATTTTTAAATGATTTTTATTTCTAAGAAATTTGATTCTTAAAGTTTTCTTATTTACTTTGTTTAACTTATTTTGAAATTCAAAATTTTTTTAAGCTAATTTTAAAATCTGAAAGAAAAGAGAAATTAATAAAATAAGATTAATTTAAAGGGAAAGTGATGTTTTTTTTTGCTTAACTTTAATGGAACGTGAAGGTGTTTTTTTTTTAAATATTTTTATATTTTCTTTTTAAAATTTTGAGGAAACCTTTGTTCACTCACATTCCTCAGAATTTTTGACAAATATAGGCAGTAAACTTTATACAAATACATACCGATTGCTATATAGTTGAAATCAATTGAAAAAAGTTAAAATATTATTATGTATTAAATAATTAACTCAATTAATTTCACTTAAATAAATATTTAAAATCAGTGCTATATGCATATAAAATTAAAATGAAATTTTGTTCTTTATTTTTATAAGTATATAAAAATTTAGAGAAATAAGCATTAAAAATTTAACTATATACGTATTTTATTTATAATGTAGAAAAATTTGGCAAAAATTCATAAAATTTTCTAATTTTAATAAAAATTATTTTTATGATTTTTTATATGTAATCGCATATAATTTATAATTACATGAAGATGAATCAGTTAAGCACACTTCAAATACTTATGAAAAATGTTGGCATTATACACAACATAAACAATTAAATTACACCTTACATATTGACTGATATATTTCATACATTTAAATTTTGAAAACAGGAAGTATACGTTGCACGTCAATATTCATTCATATTCACAATATTGCATTTATTCTTATCAAAGTTTTGTATTTAAAAATTAATTCCTACAGTTTTAATTTAGTACTATAAAAAGTTTAATATTGTAAAAATATATAAAAGGAGAGTTCAACAATTTGTTTTATCAAACAAAGTAAATTGTTTGATTCAATTTAAGTAAGTACTTTGTTCGATTATATCAAAGAATAACAATATTAATGTATGTGGTATAATAAACCTAATTTGATTATTATTTTTTAATGTATTAACAACAACTTTAATTTATTAATTAGATAAACAATAAAATTAGACAAACGATTTTTATTAAATAACTATTATCGGCCAAATAAAACTCTATAGTTCCATATACGTATTCAGAACAATATATATAACAAGAACAACAAATACAAAAAGAAAAGTTAATATGTCTTAATCGGTTTTCAGAATTAAAATTAAATTATGTAAAATCATGTACTGCTTTATTTTATGTATAATACGAGTACATAATATAAATATAAAAGTTTGTTTTAAACAGTTAACTATTTTATACTAAACCAACTAGCCTGGTTCCTTCCTAAATACTCGTATTGGGTGAAATTATTATTACATACTAAAATAAAAAAGAAATATTATAGTTACATAAATCAAAATTAAACATGTATTTCATTTGATAAAAATTAAAAACAATAATAACACTGCATGCAAACAATTTGAATTCTAAAAAAGTTCATATATCAAACAATTCTATTTATAAATACACCACAGAAAAAAAATTTGCAGCATGTCAGAGTACATGGCGCATATAAATAAAATAAAGTTAGGTCAAACCAATGGTTTGTATTGTAGCACTTTTCCCTTCAACAAGTGAAAATTCTGCTTTTAAATACAGTCTATGTACCATAGCATTAAAATTATTTTCATTCATTTACGAAACTATTTCTAAGATTTTTGCAGTCTGAAATAAAGCAAAAAATTAATTTAAAGATGGATCAACATATTGTTCGATTTTAAGGGTTAATTGCGTGAGTTAAGAAAAATAATTATATTTTTTAATGTTATGGAATTTACCGTTAGCTTTTTGCGTTTATCGAAATTTGAAAAGGCTTGCGATTTCGGAAATATAAGGTGTCAAAAATTCAAATTTTACAAATTTCAAGAGACGATAACTTGAGAGGGGGTGGAGATGGAAAAAAATTTTCTTCAAAAGAAATGAACAATTTGTTAATGTCTAAAAGCTCCTAAAATTTCAAGCTGCTACAGGCTGGGGTCTAAAAGAAAAACGACATCAAAAATTTGGAAAAAAGGACTTTAGATAACGGTAAATTTGAACGGCCATTTTGTTTTTCTAAAGTTTAACTATAGTATACCGCGCTAGTTAAAAAATGTCATTTTTAGGGTTTTGGGGAGGTACAACTTCTAGAGGGGGGAGATAAGTAAAAATTTTGTTCTACGGAAATAAGTTTCTAGTGAAGATCTATGTACGTATTAAATTTCAGCTTTCTATCTTCAAGGGTGTAGAAGTTTTGTAAACAAAAAGTGTCCACGAACCGACGGACGGACGAACGGTGAAACTAATACGCAATTTTTTTCAAAAAATATTTGGAAAAGTGCTAAAAAAATATTTGTACTTACAGCATAAGTAAAATTCGTTGCTATTTTAGTAACACTAAGATAATTACGAGTATATTTTTATAAATAATTACGAGTGGGTTTTATATTTTAAAACGGAATAAGTTCACCGTACACCAACTCTTTAACACCCTGATCACTGTTTAAATATTTTATAGAATTTTTTAAGAAAATCATTTGGAATCAAATCCTGGAATCATTCATACCATGAAAAATCTATCATTTAATTTTATATTTTATACTTAGGATGTATTTTAGTATTAAATATTTGCCAATCCCTGAATGTAAAATTAACCTCTAATAACATATATAGCATTCTTTATAAAATCCCTTTAAAATTCTTAAAATGCTTTTAAAATATAAATATACATACATAAATTGATGTTTCTAAAGAAAGTTACATAACAAAAAAGAGGTAACAATTAATTAAAACCTCTACAATTATTTATTTACAATTCCGAGATATTCTTGATCAAGTTTTTATATAACTTACTTATTTTACTTAGAGTTTAGTTTATATTTTTATTTGCGTTGCATAATTTTTATGATTTCGAATCATTTTAAATGTGCTGGATTTATTTTGAAAATGTGTGCGTAAACACATATATTATTATGTAAGTCTAAAAATTCAAATTATTTCTACTCTTTATAAAAGAAAAAGCTTAATTACAAGCACTTATGTGACCTAATCAGTTTCCCAAATTTCTATTTTTATTTTCATATTTCTTTCACAAGTTCCAAAAAAAACGTGATCTAATTTCAATGATCAATGGTAAAGAAATTATAGTTAAAGCTTTTTTTTCTTCAGATTTTAAAATTTAATATTTGTATTTTGCCTCAGTATTCAAACATAGATGCGTAAGTATATTTAGTTTTTTTTCTCTACATATTCTCATTTTATTTATTATTTTTTTTTTATTTTACTATTTCTATCTATTTATTTATTTGCATAAGTATGGTATATATTTTATTCAAATTTAAGTTCATAAGCACTTTGGTATGAGAGATCAAAAAACAAACATAAATACAAACAGTACACAATAAAAACGCACAATTATAAGTATACAATATAGGTACAAGTAACAGCTAAGACTACATATGTAATTGTTGATACAGTATACGCTTCAAAAATTACTCTAATGTTAAAATATAAGTATGAGCGAAGACTAACAACGTCTAAGTACTTGCGTGCTTTTAATATATGTATATAAATTGATTATCTTTTCAGCAATACTTAAATTTTTTAATGCAAAAGATTATTGATATTTGTGTACATAAATAAAATATTAATTATATAATAATTATAAAATTTTAACTCTTAACAGACACATTCGAGATTCTTTTTGTTTTACTAAAATTGAACGTTAGTAAGCCATAAGACTTTAGCTAATGAGGATTTTACTGTTAATACACAAATTTGAATTTTTTTCACTAGCATAAATTTGAATTTTAATTAATACCCATTTTTAATTTATTTCACAGGTATTAGCTTGTACATATGTAAATAAATATAAGTTAAGCTTTCATTCCATTAATTAATTATATGTCACGTTTAAAACAAAAATTATTTTTTTGTGTAAAATATTGAAAATATAAAAACTCGTTATAGTTGCAATAATTTTAATCCTATTTAAATAAACTTTACATTTACATATAAGTATTTTGTGTTCCTATTTGAATTTTATGCCGAGTTAAAACACACCTAAACTAAAAATTAAACAAAATATAAAAAAGTTTTAAACTTTAATAAAAAAAATTTAAGAGGTCCAAAATTTTTGATCTAAAATTAATAATAAAAACTTAAGAATTTCAAATTTGTCATAATATTGGTACCATCGGCAGCATTAATTACTAATATATTTAATTCACATTCATAAAACAAGCATGCATTTGTAATACAAAATTTTAACCTAAACTAAAATTTTAAACTAAAATTTTCTTTTACTTCAATTTAAACTATGCAATATTTATTAATATATTTTAAAATGATAACAAATTACTAAGTTTCCGTAAACTTTATTAACCTTCATCTTATCAACAAAAACGCTATAACTACAATAAAATGAAAAGAGAAATAAATTTTTTTTAATTCGAAAGTTTGAATCAAGACAAAAATAAAAACGTATAAAAAAAACTGTAAAATAACTAATAAAAATGAGGCCATGAAATAAAAAAAAAATTGAAGTAATGTTAGATAATTTTGGAATTTTCAAATATTGTTATGCTTAAAAATTTTTATTTAAAATTACAGATAATCTGGAATAACTTTAAAACTAAACAGGATTTAGTAGTTATTAAAAAATTATTTATGAAACATCCGATTCTTTATTAAATATATAACAAATCACAATTGCTGCAATTTTAAAACCTATGGACTTGATTAATTTGATCTAATGAAAATTTTTAAAGATGAAAACAACAATTACGCTTGTCGATTCAAGATGAAATAAAGATGAAATTATAAATCCAAAAGCACTCCGGAAAGGAGAATCAAATCCATTGCTAGAAAATTTTCTATACACACATAAGTAATATCAAATTTATTTAACTCAATATTATAAATAAATAGAACGATACCAACTGAAACTTTATGCAAAACTATTATAAATAGTAAATAAAAACATACCATCAAACAAATAATTAAGTTCCCTATATATCCCCTGAGCCAACATATATGAAAATCATTTTGATTTAACAAATGCAAACTTGCGCCAATCACTTAAAAATAATTTACGTTTAAAATACTTATAAACTTTTTAAGCGATACGTAAGATATTTACTGTCAATATACTTTAATAGCTATTTACTATCAAAATAAAAACTAAAAAGCTTTTATGATATATAGCATTATATAGAAGCATATATATATATAATAAATAAAAGTATAGCATATCAAAAGCGTTTATAAATCTTATAGGTTAAACAATTATTATTATAAAAAATATTTATCTTGTTTTGTATCTTAAATAAATTGCGACAATCTTATATACTTTTATACAATTATATACCTATAATGTTTTTATTCAAATCGCGCAACAGATACTTAGATGTATATATATACATTTTTAACATACGTAATTTAAGAAATTCAATGGTTAAGTAGTATCACACTTAATATGATTCAACAATAACATAAAAGTTTATTAAAATAATTATGTAAGTTCAATGTCAAAAGAAATTACTTGGAGGATGGAACATCAAAAATACCTTAAATAAAATTTGCTACTAAAATACATATATTTATTCACAATTGGAATATGTATATGGAGCTATAAATATATACCGTTAGTTATAGTTGTTTCAAACTCTGGTATAATAGAAAGCAATTTAAAAAAAAAAAGTTTTCATATAACAAAGATTGCACAATTTTGTTTTGTTTTAGTAATTGTATACAACAATAAAAAAATAAAATAAATTATCCTACATATCTCAGTTAAATATTAAATTCTAAAATGAAATGTACCTATGCACTAAGCACGTTTCTAATTTATTCTAATTTAAACACTATAAAAATTTGGTGGGTATAATTTTCCATTATAGTTGAGGTTTTCTAAAATGTCTAACTAATTTTTCTTTGAAACATTGAAAGATTCAATAATTCTCGAGCAATACGTTTATTAGGAACAAGGACGGCATTCACATGTAACAATATAGGTATTTTGCCTTTTTTTGTTTTGAATTTGAATTTATTAATTTGATTTATTAATTCTAATACTTTTGTCAGCATCAGAAGTCACTATTACAAAGATATTAGGTAAATGGAACAGACCTATGTAAACTAAACTGATACGTCAATTTGATATATCTTCTTTATGTTCCTTAAATTCTAACATGTGTTATTTGGAATTTATTTTCGCCTACATAAGCAGTTACCTAGTTCAGATCAAATTTTTTCTACCGGATCAAACTAAAATTAAATTACTATTAAAATATATAAAAATGTTTTATAAGTTAATAACTATTGTACCTACTTCTTATGCTAAGCTTCCCAAAATACTATTTTCATTTGGTATCAGCGTTATTTTCTCTTGATATGGTAGATTATATGAAATACATACCAATTTAATATGAGATTTAGGGTCTTCTATATACTACCTTTAATAAATAAATTTCTTAGAAGCTATATACTCATATTTACATATGCAGAAACGAGTGCAGAAACAATTATTAAAACATAATTTTTAAGAGCAACGAAATATTTTTTTAACCTTTGTACCTACTACTCCTTTGAATATATTTGTGTACAAACATGCTCATAAGGCAGTCATCCCCAAAATAAATACAAATAATATGTGTTAGATCTACTCGTATATTATATTGGCATACATATTACCAAAATCAACGGATTGTGATGATAGAAAAAGGTTAAAAATTACAATATTCGTCATACAAGCGTAGATACATTTTCTATCCGTTACTTAGAATATTATTGCAATAAATATGCTCATAACAGGTTGGTAGGGAATTCCAAAGGATATTGACTCAAGTGCATGAACCTATAAGAACATGTACTTTATATTAATAGGCATGTCTATTTGCATATGTAAAAAGTAACTTGGTATACCTATGGCACCTACCTAAAGTGTAATTTTTTTGGCTTTAATGCCAAATTTGGTAACTAATTCAAAATTAGGATTTCTGACCAATTAATTTATATGTATGTACGTATTTTAGAAACCAAATAAAACCATTCAATGAAAGTTATTGCAATAGCAGACTCCGTAACCTCAACTAATGTATATTTGCATATGGCTACGTATACTTATACCACGGTTATGTGCTATACACGACGTAGTTAGTTGTGGTACATATTTATGTACAATTATGTACACCAGCATATACATTTACACATTTACATAGTTACATATATAAATTATTAGGTAAAATTTTTGCAATTAAAAAAATTTCCACTTTGATAAAGTAAAACAAATAGTTTTACAAAAAATTAAACCAAAAAAAGAAAATATTTTGGGTTCATAAAAATTTTTAACGTAAAGGCGTAGTGCAGTTTTTATTGCAAATTTTATTTTCTGAAAGAAAATTTACCAAGTAAATGCTTTCATTACATTGCATAATTTTAAAATGAATTAAATTAATAATTAAATTAGAAATAATTTCTACAATCAATTATACTCGAGCTTAATGGCTTTTACGTTTAATTAAATTTTATATTTAGCAAAAAATAACGAAATTCATTTTTTCACAATTACAGCAATGCCCTTAGATACTAGGTGCATTATAATTACTTTAATTAAAAATTCATTTCTTTTTTGAAATTATAAATACACTTACTTCAATAAAATATTTGTCAAAAGTTCATTAAATAATTATTAATTTATTTATTCTTCTTATAAAAAAAAACAACAATTTTTTCCTCTTTATTAGGTTAAATAATTTTTTTTTTTTTCTTTTTGTTCTTTTTCACTTTTAGTCGACATTAATTTTGAACAATAGTAGTTTAAATCCGCGACACTACTGTCACATTTTTTCTATGAAAAATAAAGAAAGTCAAAAAAATTAATTGTAATGACGATACTCGAAAATTTTTTATAGACGTCAAACTAAAATAATTGTCAAAAAAGAAATAAAAAATGGCAAATTAAAAACAATTCTGTACAAGTGAGAAACAGTGCTGTCGCTCTGTATGATTTTATGTATTAATAAAGTAATAACACAAATTAAAAAATCAGTACGATATAAAAGATTTATCTTACAAAAATGTGAATTCAAAAAGATGACTCAAATTTAACTATTATAAAACCGCAATTTAGTTTTTTGGAAAAATGAACGAAACGTAGATGAAAAATTAAAGTAATGAAACTGAGAGATATAACAATGGTACACCTTCAGTATAAAATATAAAATTTTGTTTTACTAATATTTATAACATTAAATTTTATTTTAATAGTATAGAAAAAATTTAAAGTTCGGATATATTTTACACTAGATGTCGTTAAGGTAGTCGTTCAGTTTTTTAACTTCAAAATTTTATGTAAGGTATTTAGGTTTGAGTCTTTAATAAACTTTAAAAACAATAATAAGTGATACTCGATTCTGAATTGTGGAATGTAGAAAGAAAACTATTTTCCTTGCAGTACTTTTTACTTCAATGTGCAAAGAGGACAAGCAGACGCACACAATATATTAACACATTTGCAAAGAAAGTAACAATTAAGACCGACGAATCAAACTTAAACCAAATCTTTATAAAATAAGAAACAAAAATGGATGGTAAACTATAAAACGGAGAATAAATTATTATATTATCAACTGTGATGTTATAGGACTAGTAAGCTTAACTATTACAGATTTTGTTAAAAATACTGACATTCATTAATATACAGTTATCGATGGTTTTCATGCAAAGCTAATGTAGGTAAATAAATTTTTATTTTGTTTTTTTCATTTCTTACTTTATGTTGGTATATTCGGTTATACATATTATGTAAAAATATTAATAAATGAGAATATTTTTTTGTTTCGGTTGTTTACAAAACAAATAGCAAAAATTACATTTTTACATTTTCCCAAGATAAAAAGAAAATTAATAATTTGAAATGTTTCATATCTTTAATCCAAGTCTTTAAGGCTAGTTAATTCTAAAATAATAAAAAGTAAAATAAGGATAAATAAATCAGAAATAGGATGATCTACAATCATTTATATCGTAATTTGATCTGATCTAATAATCATATGATTCTTATGATATGTATGATATGAAGCACTTGAGTGACAATAATATCAAACTTGGATATCCACTAAGAAATAGTAGTAGTTCCCAAGTGTATGAGCATGTACATATGTATATAATAATGAACGTCAAATTTCCAATATTTAAATTCATATTTCGAACAAAACAATTATTTATATTCCAACAAAAGCAACGTACTATATAAATATGTATGTATTAATGTTCTTTTTATGCACCTATAATTAAAAATTCCTACGTAATTATTATTTTTGTTATTATTAATATTAAAATATTGTTTTACCATTACGGCTACTGGTACTACTGTATAAAAGCCAAATTTTACAAACAATTTTTTCGTTCGTTTTTAAAAGCTTCATAGAATATTATTTTAATTTTTAAAAAACAAAATGTAATGATATAATTTTCAAAGAAAGTACATAATTTAAATAATTAATTTTATTTTATATTCATTTAGCTATATATATATATGTACGTATATACCTACAAAAATTTACTTTATAGAACGAATGTCTTATCCACTTGTAAATTTAATTCATTCACCTATTCGATTAGTTTCAATTACGAATCGTTTGTGATTAGTTCATTACGGAAACGGTTCAGCTGCACTCTAAATAATAATCTCAAAGAAGAATTAGAAAACTTAATGTTTATTTTGGAATAGAGCCTTTTTAAAACCATAAAATATTTTAAATATATATATACACAAATAAAATGTATTTATTAAAATTATTATATGATAAATATATTTATTTTTTTGAAACAAACAGCGGTAAGGAAATTTATTAGTGATTAATGTAATCATAATATAAAATATTAAAAATTATTAAAACACAAAATTAAAAACGAAAAAAAAAAAAACAAAAATTAATAGTAATTTTTAATTTTATATGAAAATATGAAGATCCACGGATGAATGATAAATTTTTAATGGGAAGTCCGATACCAGTTCTTATATTTATATTTTTATATTTAAAATTTGTTCTTGACTGGGGTCAAAAGTTTATGAAAGATCGTAAACCATTTGAAGTAGATAGATTGATAATTTTATACAATATTATTCAAATTGCTTGGAATTTAGAATTATTTATTAAGGTAAGTAGTTTTAAGTATAACTTATTTAAAATTGTTTTTATACTTAATGAATCGGTTGTATCTAAATTTTATATTATTTTAATATAATATAACCCAATAACACAAAATGGTTAAAATATGAAAAATATGCTAGATTTTTTGAATGTTGTTTAAGAATGTTCACTAGTAACGGGGTAAATTTTAAGAACGAAATACCAAATATATTATATAACCAATTTCTATACAAAGTTATACAAAATTATTACATTTACGAAGTAAGATTCCGAAATGTAATTTCACTAAGGTTCTATTGTTACCTCTTCTTTTTCTTGCAATTTTTCAAAAAAACTGTTTGTATAGGACTCTATATATTCTAATATAATTTTTAGTAAGAGGTACTAAGACGAAACAAAATTTTATATAGTTATTCGAATTTTAAACATTAAAATATAATTTAGATATTGCAACGCCCCATAATACAATTTTTTTTACATAAATTTATCTAATTTTACAAAAAATAATTTCTTTTCAATTTTTAAGGCTTTTAGGTATACATATGGACTTGGAGGATATAGTTTTACATGTCAACCAGTTGATACATCAACATCGGGTTCAGCAATGATAATTGCAGATGGTGTTCATTCATATGTTCTAATAAAATTTTTCGATTGTTTAGATACAGTATTTTTCGTTCTAAGGAAAAAAAATAAACAAATAACATTTTTACATGTTTATCATCATGCTGGAGTATTAGCTTTAGCCTGGTCAGCATGTAAAGTCTATCCAGGTATTTATATAAAATATTAATTTTAATATACGCACAATTCTAATTGAATTTAATAATATTTTTTGTTTTTACTTTTAAGGTGGTCAAACAGTTTTCACCGGATTTTTAAATACTTTCATTCACGTTATTATGTATTCATATTATTTATATGCTGTTTTAAATCCAAATGAAAAGAATATTTGGTGGAAGAAATATTTAACACAAATGCAAATTGTAAGCTCTCAATATTTCATTATGTAAATTATGTAAATTGTAATTTTTAAAAAATGAATAATGAGGTAAATTAAGGTAATTTTTAACCTGTAAATGGTTTTCATTTTCATTAATAATTAATTTATAATTTTGTTTATACATATGTAATATACAAAATGCAATATTTACGTTAATGTAAAATAGTTTACATAAATTTCTTAGGTTTATTATGATAAATAGTTTTTATTTCAGAGGTTTTAAAATTCCTCTATATACATTAAAAGTAGAAAACTAAAAAAATTGAGCTAAAAAAACAGTGTTTAAAATGTCTTCAGCAATTAGGGATGTCATAAGTTTTGCAATAGATTAATTTCATTGAATTTCATTTTACTTTAAATTTAAATTAAATAATGTTATTTTGATTTTATTTAATTAAATAAGCGAAGTGTATCTAATTGTAGTTTTACTTAAATTTTCAATTTAATAATAAAAGTTTTGGTTACTTATTAAAAGTAACCGAAATTCTCTTCCTTTTCTTCTATGAAAATGCACTCTTATACAATATAAACGGAAACAAGCTATAATTAGTGTTATATTAGAATATGTTCAAATAAAACCCAAGATTCAACAAAACCTTATTTTATCTATTCAAGCAGTTGAATTAAACTCTATAAATTAAACAGTTCTCATAAAACTAAATTATGTGAAAAGCTAGACTTGTAATAATTCCAGAGTACCAAAGGTTTTTTTAAAATTATTTTATTATATATAAAAAAACAATAATAAAATTCATATGTATTATATATTAAAGAATTAAATATATACATAAAGAGAACAAGACTTTCAGGTTATATATATGTATATATATAGATATTTTTAGGCTCCAAAATTATTGATTGATTTTTTATTCAGTAATCAAAATCATTTAAAATTCTTATAGGACTACCACATTTTTTTCCAAAGGTTAATTTTGTGATTTTATTATAATGTACATAAATTGTATAATTCTAGATTAAACACTAAAAAATTTGCATAAATATTTGTAAATGTAGTATTTATTTCATTTTTACTAAAAATAGTTTACGCATAATAGGTATGTGCTCAATTATTTGGTAGTGCGTATATGCTTTTATAGGGTGTAGTATAGAAAGGTCGAAAAATTTCGCTTCAACCAATATAATAAAAATTTTTCTTAAACAATGGAAATCAAATTTCTGAAATAAATATATTTGAAAATAATAGGAATCTTTTTCGTACATTATGTTTTCTAGCGTTCGACATTATAAAACTCTAAAACCTTTCGTTCAATTTTTGCTAACATCAATTTAATGATCACCATTATATAGTTTGAATTTTTAAATATTGCTATGCTTTGCATAATATTTGAAAATATTTTTAAGTTTATGTATTTGTTTTTTATTTGTTAAAAAGATCTAACAGCGTTATTATTCTTTAAAGAAAAAAGAGCGCTAATTTTCTAACACAGACTTACAATAAAGATTGATCGACAATACCATTTTATAAAAATAATTTCTATAACAATATTACAACGCTAGTACTGATTTTCAAAATATAGGATTTATAAACAAATGCTCCTTAATTCTTGATTTAAATTTAATACAATCAGACTAATGAAAGTAACTAAATTAATTGTAAAATAATTTATTAATTTTGTATTTTCTTTTTAGGTTCAATTCTTTTTAATATGTGCTTGTTTTACGGCATTAATAATAGTACCAGATTGCGGCTATCCAAAATGGGGAGCAATTTTTGTAGTTCCTCAAAATTTATTTTTGATGATAATGTTCACTGATTTTTATATTAAATCATATTATAGAAGAAAAACGAATTAATCCCAGTATTTTGATTAATTTATTAGCAACAAAATGTGTTTGTCCTAAAATGAAAGAAAAAACAAAATAAAGAAATTTTTAAAAAAACAATATTTTATTTTATTATCCTTATACAAATAATTTCAGAATTTTGAAATGAACACAGTATACTAAAGCTCAACGTTATACCTGTTTTGATTTTGTAACGTAATTGCCTTATTAATACTGTAATTTTAATAAAAACTTTGGATTTATTTTCAAAATTTAATTTACTTACTAAGTTTACGAGTATTAACAAATAATTTACTGTTAGCTCTTTTATTAATTTTTTAGTGTTACACAAAATTTCTTAGACTTGCGTAAAGCTGAATTTTCTGAAATGCTTGGTCTATTAACTTGCATGTCTAAGCTATATAACCTAGATATTTTTAATAAAAATAACCAAAAAAAAAATTTTATCTTTAATTATTTAAGCCCCTATTTTGAACCGGTTGCGATAGAGGCCTATTTTGTATTTTATGATGCATTTTTTCCTTACTAACAATGTGCTAGATGTTAGTATATGCCAACGCACCACTATATGGAATAATCTGTATTTTATAATTTTTTTTTCTTAAAAACAAACATAGACACTTGTTTTAAATGATTAGGCTTAGTTGGTTGAAGTCACTACCCTGTGAATCACTAGGCCGTCATTAAGCGTACGATTACTAATGACCCATATATCAAGAATATTATAGACTATATACCTATAGTCTATAATATTCTCATCAATTATAGCAGTGAAGTAAAATGGAAAGTTTAATTTGAAATATGAAAATTAATTAAAAATTTTTAATTTGAAATATTTTTACCGTTAATCGAAAATAGCTTTTATTACCTCTTCTAATTATGAACTTCATTTGCATTCTCACCAGTTTAATTTTCGAAAAAGAAATCATAGCATACCTAATAATATTATTGTCGTTTATGATATTTTTTTAACATCATCCTAAACTTCTGCAATTTTAAAACTTTTATTTTCCCAAAATGTTGAATAAAAATTAATCGTATTGAGAATTCCAAAATTATAAAAGCTATATTTATAATTAGTCTATGTGTTTGGAATTGATAAAAAATATTTCTAGAATATCCAAAATAAAAACTTGTAAATTTAGGAATATGTATACTTTAGCTCAATTATAAAAGTAAAGGAAACCTGAATTTAATTTTTAATTTCTTAGCAAAATCACTAAGAACTTATCGGAAATTAAACAACAAGATACCATTTCAAATTTGAATAATAAAAACTACAAAACACAAATTGTATAATTGATTATATTTATTTTATTTCGGCACATAAGGTATATAAGTAAAATAAATTATATTTTAAGTAGATAAGTAAGTATATAATAATTATACTTACACTATACCATCATAAACAAAATAATACACTTTCTTTGTAAAATTTTAACAAAAATTACTTAAAGAATAATATACGAAATGAGGGGTTAATGAAACCCAAAATATTATAATTTATGATCAGACAATATTTTTTCTTTTGGATGTATAAGACATGATCATGGTATACATTCAAACCAAATGAATTACATTTCAATTTTTTATAATCATAAAATGTTTTCAAAATTCTGTTTATTTGTTTTCTATTTGCTTAAAATGCTCTAGTCAGTGAAAAGTTCTTAATCAGATCGTTGTAAAATAAAATCCTTCTTTAATTTCATTTTTATTAAATTTTAAAAAATTGAAAGAAATTTTAATTAAACAAGATAATTAGATCGAGTAAAATGTGTAAAAGAAATTCATAAATAATAAAGCTATTGAAAAAAAATTTTCACAACATTTTAATAAAATTAATAAATGAAATAGTGAAAAAATTTGAAAAGCTTTAATTATAATTTTGAGTGAATTTTTTAAACGTATTTTTATTAATTGTTAAACAATCAATTTAAATTTGAGGTTCTATACCATAGATTTGAAAAAACTCAGATATAAAGGTTACCGATTTCTATATATGTATGTAAAATTGTAAGTACAAAATTTTATTATTTTTCACAATTTGCTAAATTTAATAGTTTTTGTGGCTCATAATAAACTTTTTAGAAGTTAGAAAATTTTGACTTCTAATTAAATTTTCGTATTTTTTATTTATCAAAGTAAAATATTTTCTCATTTTTAACTTTATACATATTCACAAAATTTTACAGTATATTCTTCTCCCAAAAGTATGCACAATTTTATTTATTACTTTTTGCGTTTTGTCCAATTTCTGTTTATTGTTATTTGCCTTAGTTTCTTTAGAAGAGGTAAGTGGACAAAAGGGTTAACTAACATTTTGACGAAAATCAAGCTTTTCTGATAGAACATCATTAAATTTCATATATTTTCAACTATGATTACTCTTATAACTAGAAATTTAATAGAAGACGAGATTGACAGTGAACATAGGAGATAAGTAATAATTTACAATTAAAAAATGTGTCACAATGCAAATGTAAGTTAACCCTTTTATCCACTTACCGCTTCTTGTACACAGATATATCTTTACCAACCTGTAATAATTGTACTTGAAAATGAATAAAGAATCAACTTGACATAACGAGTAAAAGTTTTCTTCCTCTTCCTCGTATGTTGTTCTTAACTCTTGCTTAATATGTAAGTATTACGTATTACGTTCCCAAAAAATTCGTAAACCAAAACCATCCGTTTGACCATTCATTCGTGTATTGATAATACTTCTGCAATATTTAAAATGTGGAAAAGTAAAATTTTGTACAAAAATGAATGCGAGAAACTTACTGTTTCAGCAAAAATGTTGAGCTAAGAGTCAATGGTTAACAAAAAAGGTTCCAGAAATGTTAATTTGTTGTTAAAATTTATTGCATCGAAACCGAACATTTACAGAAATATAACGATATCCTTCTTTTTCTACCGTTAAATAGCACAGAAAAGTGTTAATCTTTATCATATAGTACTTACTTTATTTTCCATAATAACTCAAGTTAAGCGTAAACCACAATGACCCTTTTTGAAACTAATTTTATTTTTTATTGCAATAAATTGAATTAAATCCGAAATTATTGAAAATTATTAGGAAATATTAAAGCTTCAAATACATAAATATTTTAACTTAATTTAAATTTTATAGATTACACTCATAGATAATAAACGCAGATCATTGTTTTTTACTTTGGAATTAATAAATAACAGGTTAAATATTTATGTTTTTAGACATTATAATCCAATATTTTAAAGAATCTAATTAAATGTATAGTTCCATTATTATGTTATTGCTTCTTTGAATTTTTGCCTTAAAAATATAGAGTGTGTGATGCAATTTTTTCGTTTCCTTTAATTCTTTTTATGTATTTCACCATATTGATTAATTACTCAAGATTTAGATGTTCTCGTAACTAAATGGTAGTGCTTTATCACAAATATTATGTGTCCTTTAATAAAAATTTTCTAAAATAAAATAATTTTTAATGTCTCATGATGAATGTTTAAAATAAAAAGTGACGTAAACAATCCGAGAAAATAATTGAATGAGCCCGGTAATTTTTAAATAAAAATACTTATTAAATTTAAATCTTAAATTATACGTACAAAATTAACATTTAAATTACCGATTATTTATAAAACCGACCTTCTCTATTGAATGAATAAATCTACACTATTACGACTAAAAATACGTCATGTTACTATGCTAGTTAGGAAGAAATCACCAAATAAATTTATTTATTTTGGAATTTAACATTAATTTTATAGATATTTTAAATACATTTATTTCAACTCTGTTTTCTGATTTAGATTGACTATATGTTGTATACCAGTGATTAAATTTCGATTCTCCAGAAATAATACAAAAACTTAACTAAAAAGAAACAAAATTATTATAAACATGTGTAGAATTTTAATTGATTTATTAAAAAAAATCAAAGAAGAGTGTGATTCAAACAAAATTCAAAAATCTTTTATTAAAAAATTTTTATCACTGATCTTAACCGAGCAAAACAATATGTTAATATATAATTGTATAAATATAAAAGCATATATCAGTATTTGTTCCTCTTCAAAAGTTTCTTTTCTGTTTAAAAGCAGGTTTTCTTTTTCTATGAATAAAGTTTATTGTCGTGTTATACAATTATATAATTGTATAGTCCAATTTGTAGAATTGTATACGAACTTTACGAATTTTATTTTAAGACGTGATTTGCCTAAGTATGAACGTTATGAATATTGTTAAGTAAAACCCAAGATTGATAATGATGTTTGAATTAAAAAGGTATAAGAAAAAAAGGATATTTTTAAAATAAAGGGTATTTTTTTCTACAATTTCTACAGTGAACAATTGAATTACAGTGAATAATTATAGATTTAGGTGTAATTTTGTCATTAAATTCCACAAGTGATTTTAATTTTAAAAGAATTTGTTATTTTATTATTGATATAAAAATTGAGGTTTATAAATTCATTATATAAAGTCTACCTTAAATTTATGATTAATTAAAAATTATGTCAAACTAATGGTTTGTGAAATATCACATTTTCACGTGCTATTGTGAAAGCACTTTTAGAAAAAATGCCACTTTTTACTTCAAATGCCACTTTACAATATTGTAATCTTTCCAGAACTTATGCAATAATTATGTCAATAACTTTTTGACACAAAGTGGTTGGTATAAATTTTTATCTAGAAAAAAATATTTTCAAGCTAGATCCATTTGTAGATAAAACTTCAGCTTTCTGTTTTAAAGGTTGTAGAAGCTCTCTAACTTGTAGTTTTGACTTCAATTAAATTTTTAAAACTTTGTTTGGTTGCACGTTATTGCAAAAATTTAAAACGGAATATTTAAAATCTGCTCTTAATTTATTAGAAAATTTTGATTGTCACTCTTTTTATTAAAACTTTGGTTTTGTGTTTTTATATAAGAAAAAAAAAAATTTTTTTTTACGAAGGTTTGTTTTTATTTTCAGTATCACTGAAACACAATTTTCATAAAATTTTTTTTTGTCTAATCACG